GAGAAAAGTTCTAACACGAATCAACGATAAACAGAAATCATATATCCTTGTCCTAAATCTGGAAACTGAAATACCTTTAATCTCTTTTCCATTCCCAGTGAGTTATCTTGGCTGTCTCCAAGAGCATCACATCGAACAGCCAACGCAGTTTTGGCAGCAAGAGACCGAGAAATTTTACCCTTGTGTTTTGGTGCTGCTTGACCAATTAAAGATGCATGGTATATAAGGCCATATTTAGGAGTTGCGTGCTTTGTTTTCAGTGCTCTAAAAAGAGCCTTTTCTGCACCAAGTATCTGGACCGTACTTCCAGGTTGCTTAGCAAGATTCAACAAGCTGCCTCCATGAGCGATAAGGCGAGCACCAACAAGCTCTCCAACAAGAGCAGTGAGATTTGGAGCAATGGTGTTCATCCTGCTTTTTAGATAATCAAACAACTGAGCTCTGTATTCTGCCAATGAGAGAACTTGGTTGCACAAATCTTTGATATTTTCCAAATCAAGATCACTAACTTCAGTTCCCATGGAAATCATGGCTGCTTCTTTCAGTTCTGTCTCGACCTCTTCTGGAAGTATCTATAAACAATTTAACAACACATTTAAATATCAATAGATCGTGCGTGTCTATGTTTACTACTGGGGTAGAAGAAAGGAATATGAAGTTAGATCGGTACCTCAGAGAAATCAAGTTTTGCAGCATTTGTACGGTTACCCATCAACTTCACTGTCTTGGCATAAAGGATATTGTCTTGCACAATCTTTGCAAGTTCTGGAAAATGCCAACCATACCATTCCCTTACTCTCATTGCATACGTGTTCAGCTCTTTGTCAAGGTCATCCAACAAGCTAATGGCTTGTATGATCATTGTATCGACCTAGTTCAGAAACAAACAACAGCCTTATAAATTAAAAACATGTAGATTTGAGAGAATAAGAAAGATTCAAGCAACTCAAGGCCTCATACATTGTCTGGCACATAAATAAAATGAAAAGCACACAATCAACTACAAAGAGAGAGAAGATTTTAATTGGATTATTGCCAGGTGAAAGCTGGCACAGAATCAATATGACTTCCCATAATGACCTCAT